CACACATCACCAAGGCCGTGGCTACGTGCCAGACCCAGGCAAGCATGGAGCAGATGGAGCCCTGGCACGGCCCCGACGGCTCCTGCATTAGCAGCATCTGCTCATTAACCAGAAACTCTTCCCTCGCTTTCCCTAATGCTCCAGGAAAAGCATTTTGATTTGATTCATTTCGGGTAAGGCAACGTGGAAGGCAATTAGTGGTAGGGAAAAAAATAATAAAAGAAAGCAAGCTGGATGCCTGCCAGTGCTGACAATGGGAAACAAGGCAGAAGATATAGAGAAAGCTGGTCAGTTGGAATTCAAAACATCACAATTGTGGATTCGGCTGCCAAGGCCTCCCAGGTGTAGATTGACGGCGGGCAAGGGAGGAAGAGGCCGCAGACCGCAAGACTTCTCCACCCATCCTTCGGTTTCTTTGAAGCTGATCTTCCAGGATTGGGGCCATCAAGTCATTGAGGCCACCTGGTGATTTATCTGAGGCTGCCAGGTCACCAGATAAAGCTCCAGGTGGCCTCCACGGCTCTCTAGAAGAATGCAAATGACCAGCTGTCTGCAAGGAGTATAAATCCTTCCACTCCCCACCATCCAGTCAGAGCTGAAGAAGCTTCTGGGATGAGAAGCGAAACGTCTTCGAAGAAAAACAAGGACGTCCAGTTGCCTCCTGACAAAAACACTTTTGGGATAACTATGACCTGGATGACTGAAAATCTCCATAGACATTTAGCTATGCACTTGGGGATGAACACCCTTCGAATGGTGCAGGACTAGGAATGGAGTTCCCAGAAAATATTGCAGATCACAGGAACCGTTCTTGCACTTCAGTTTGAGATGCAGACTAACACAGACTCGTCCCCAAACTGCCTGCGCCTGCCTTCAACGGGGAAGAGACCCAGGACAGAAAAAAATCTTGCAGCCAAGAAGGCTCCCCACCCATTTGCACCACTCAGGTGACCCTGAGGACACAGGTAAACTTCCAGGTGGCCTCAATGGCTCTCTAAATGGATGCAATGACCAGCTGTCTGCAAGGAGTATAAATCCTTCCACTCCCCACCATCCAGTCAGAGCTAAAGAAGCTTCTTGGAGGAGAAGCGAAACATCTTCAAAGAAAAAAAAAAGGAAGTCCAGTTGCCTCTTGGGATAACTATGACCTGGAGGACCATAGACGTTTTGTCCGAAACCTCCTTACTCATCGCACACGTGAGACGGCACGCTGACAGCTGACCGCAACCCTGCCATTTCCTAAGAAGCAAAAGTTTGCACTCAAAAGACCAGGGAATCCAGAGCTCCAGAATTAAGGTGCAAGGCAATCATGGGCGTTGAGTATTGACAATTCCTTGACAACAGAGCTTGCCCGGGGATAGGCGGATTTAAATCATCACGGGGGGGGGGGGGGATCCACGGCACTCTTTGCTCAGCCAGTCAGCTGTGAGGACAAGGCAGGCGTAAAAATGCCCACGGCTTCCTCTTGGAGACCGGTTGCCAAGGGCATCGCGGCTTGCGCCCTGCTGAATGGGGAGAAAATGGTGTTGTGTCAACGCATTCGCTAAGAGCCCTTTTCAACGGTGGGGACTGGCGGCACTGCCTCCTCATGTTAACAGATGGCTTCTGTGTTCACCAGGCACATGCTACAAAAGCAACACACACACACACACCCCAGGAAGAAAACAGGCACACAGACACAGACACAGACACATGGGTGGGGGGGGGAGAGAGGGCATATAGCAGCGAAAAAATGATAATTGCTTTGAAAAATAGCGAGAAATATGTACGCGGGCTTCTCCGGACATACGTTTGCTGAGATCTCTTCCTGCGATTCTCACCGATTTGAGGTGGACAATTTTTGTGGGTAAAATGTTTCAGGATGGTGAACAGTGGAAGCATGTCTGATTTTCAGAAGGGGATCAGGTGATGCCCCCGGAAACACTGCAACCGTTGCAAATACGAGTCTGCTCCCAAGCCTCTGAATTTTGATCACGTCACCACGGATGCAATGGTCGTAAGTGTGAAAAACGGTCGTAAAGGCACTTTTCCCTCTGTGCTGTTGTAACTTTGAACAGCCACTAAACAAACTGTCCTATAGTGTCTGTGTGTTTTGCACCTCAAAAATGGCAGGAAGCTCATTTTCACCAAACTGAGAGGATGAAGGTCTGAGGACGTTTGCCAGACTAAGATTGCTAAGAGGGATGGAAGTGGAAATTCATTCGCTGGGTGTAGGAAGGACGGGGCATTAGCCTGTTATACGAAGGCTTTTCTTCCCGCTTAATTTTGTCTGCTCTTGCTTTTTATTGTTTTTTAATTGTGTGCTGCTAAGAGTCGGTTTCGAGTTGAAGCAGCCTTATAAATTGAAGCCATAAATAAATAAAATTACTTAATTTAGGTTTCGTCGGTCTGGGATGGCAAATCAAGAAGGAAATTACATTGCGTTAAATTAAATAAATGAGACTCAACGCGTCCCAGTTATGAGATGTGCGCCATCCACTTATCTGCGATAGGTGCAACATTACAACATCTGGAGCACCTCCCTTCCTTTCAGTGGAAGCAGCAGAGGCACTGAAAAAAATTGCAAGCTTTGAACAGTCCTTTTTTTTTTTTTCCTTATTGCAAGCATGCAGTTTCTTAACAGGTATGTTTTGACATCAGATCAGCTGACAGTAGATTCAGGATAGCCCGTTTAGGCTTTGAATGGGGTATTGGGGGATTAGAACATTCCATTTGGCGTATCAGATCAGAATTCATATTCCTCTAGATCAGTGCATCTCACTCTTGACAACTTTGAGAGATGTGGGCTTCAACTCCCAGAATTCTCCAGCCATGGAAAGAGAATGGGAAGAGGGGAAGAGAAAGGAAAGGAAAGGAAATAAGAGAAGGAAAGGAAAGGAAAAGAATGGAAAGGGAAGAGAAGGGAATGGAATAGAGAAGGAAATAGAAAAGGAAAGGAAAGGAAAGGAATGGAAAGGGAAGGAAATAGAGAAAGGAAATAGAGAAGGAAAGGAAAGGAAAAAGACACTTGGTTGTGAAATATGACATTTGGAGGTAGCATTTTACTGAACGTTCTCTGTCTAACAATCTGAAAATGAGAATCACTTGGGGGGTTCTTCTTTTAGCTATTGTATTTTGTATTTTTATATTTCTGTAGTATTTACATCATTTTATCTTTTTAATATTGTAAGCTGCCCAGTTACCCTGGGATAAGATGGGTGGCCAACAAATTTAATAATAATACATTTACGTCTCTAGTGCAATTATCTGGCTTGCTCTTTGCCTTATTGGCCCTCCTTCCCTACATCTCTAGGAAAAGAAAGAAAGACAGGAAAAAAAAAAAACCCACCAGACAGGCCAAAACAAGTTGTTTGCTCATGACAAGCTTGGCCGGGCTGAGGCCTGGCACCCGTGCCTCCAAGCTGCAGCTCCAGGAGGAATTAAAGCCCTCGTTTTAATGGGCACTGCCATCCAAGGCCTCCTAATGCAACGGAGGTTATCGGCCAACTTTCCCACATGAAAGCGAGCGTGAGCGCGCACACGTGCATTTGTGTGTACAGGAGAGAATTAGAATTGCTCCCGGGAAGAAAGGAAGGGGAAAAAAAGAAAGGAGAGGGGAGGTTGGAAAAAAAAAAGAAAAAGAAAAAAAGCTGGGCACAGCTGCTTCATTTCAGGAAAGCTTTTAAAAGACAACATTAGGACCCGGCTTGTTGTTAACTTACCGTCCTCGTACGCCGACACAGCCAGGGAACTGTTTATTCTCACAAAAGAGGCATGTGGCCGGGGGCCAGGCTCCCCCGAGCCGTGTTCCGGTTCCAGGACGGGGGCCGCGTAGTCCCAGGTGCGCGTGTCCCACAGCTTCACATCGCCCGATGTGTATCTGGAACAGAAAGCGGAGCATGGGATCCAAAAGCTGCAGGAGTCAAGGCCTCTTTTGGGTTTTGAGCTCTGAGTTTGGTTGGGATCCAAAGCTCCTTCTCAGGAAGACGGAGGCCCTGTCTGCAGAGGAGGGCGGGCGTCGTCTTCCGTGGCTCCTGCCACGAAATTCAGACGGGAACCTTCAGGACAGCGGACTCGACAACCACAATTCAGCCCAAAATTTATGGGGCGGTTGTTAAGCTTTGCCCCGGTTTACGGCCTTTCTTGCCACCGTGGTTAAGAAGAATGGAAAACTCTTTGTGTTCTATCCCTAACTGAACATTCCTTCTCAAAAACCAAATCTGCAACGAGCGCAGAGCATTAAAAGTAAAACCCAAAGCGCAGATGCTCGGCTTCGTGTTTTCAATTTTAAGAACCAAAACTCGTTCTCTAAGGACTGGAATTCCTGTAGCCAACATGACACCACCTGGACAGCTTCAGTAGAGCAGGAGAAGCCTAAGGAAGCAACGGCCCTATAGTAGAAAGTTTGCATTATGCTACTTTCCCCCACAACTTTTAAAATGGGCAGACATCCCTCCCCGGAACCCAGCCACCCCTAACTCACTCAGCCTATTTAAAGAACAATTTGAGATGAAACCAACAACTTCTTTGTAGGCTACAAGAAAACAACAAGAGGTTATGAACGGTGCTGGGATGAATCTGATTCCATGCAAAAAGTTGATTTGTACCTCGCACCTAATTTGTGGAAGAACTGGGCCAAAAGAGTTGTTGAAAAAGGGTTGTCGTTGTGGGGCAAATGGCAGGAAGACGGTGTGTTGGGTATGTTTACTGCCTCGAGTTGTTTGTAAAAATAATAAAAACTAGGAATGAATGAATGAATGAAATGAAATGAAATGAAATTAGCTTTGTTTTCAACTTCTGATGCGCTAGGGAGAGGAATGAAATGGTCTCCCCGTTTGGTCTAGCAAGGGGAAAATAAATCCCAGCCCTTAGCAACAGGCGGCTTGTTTAGTTAGCTATTCAAACTTTAGTTCCACTAAACTAGTTGAACTGAAACAAAGCTGGGGTAGATCTAAATTATGAAGATACGGTAAAACCGCTGACTTCCCGATAGCATCCACGTTGGTTTCTTCTTTTGACAGAAAGAGGAGGAACAGAGAAGACGACAAAAGAAGTATTCTGTAAGAGGTGGGAAGATGCTGGATGTTAGCCCAACCAAGTAGGGCTGAAGAGGCTGGCAACTTCCTTGGATGTTACCCCCTCCGACCAAAAAGACAACAATATATATAAAAAAAGGACAAAGCTGCAAAAAAGCTTGGGTGGCAATGCCAAAATCAATCTCTCCAGAGCCCCAGATGTCCTTACCACTGCCTAATGACAATCCTACTCTGCCAATTAAAGACTCGGCTATCGCTGTTGCATTGTTCGTAAGCTTTTGGCCCCCAACGTTGATGGCTGTCTAATTAGCACGGGTGCAAAGTACAACTTTAAATTACGCACGCGAGCTGACAAATGCACGGGAAAATAAGGGATCAATAAGAGGGCTCAACTTAGAGCACCTGCGCTGGCGTGTGACGGCCGTTCACAAATCTGCTTTCCATTGGAAGGGAGAGAGAGAGAGAGAGAAGCTAGGTTAGTTAGACCAACAAGCTATTGGGAGGTTTGGCTAATTATGCCATGGAGAGGAATTGGGGCCTTCGAAGTTAGAACGTTCTCTCGGCCACCTGCGATTCCCACCTTTGCGCCTCAGTAGAAGCCGAGAGAAAGAAGCTGGAAAAAAGAGGGAGGCACGAAATGTTAGAAATAAGAGGATGACCGTTATTGACAGGTAAAATTGGGGGAAAAAAAATCAAATCAAAATAAAACTGGCAGCCGAATTGCGGGAGTTTTAAGCCGCAGCTCCTGCAGATGGTGCCCCGATGTTCATTTCTCTTTGCAGTCCTGTAAACGTGAAGCATTGCTGCTTTTTCAGAAACTCGAGGCAATCTGGCCTTGATGTCTTAAATGGTGGGCTTGAAAATGAAGGAAGGTGGGTTGCTAAAAGCCCCCTTTAACAAAATCCATTGGATCAACCCATCCCTCAAGGACAGGTCAACCTCTAGCCCAGCCCTATCCTGGTTCACCTGTGCGGTTCCGGCAAAGGACTGTTCTCAAAGACAACTAATTTCTATCTCCCCCACTGCACTTTGAAACCTGACCTCTCCTCCCCTTAGTGATGGTGATGTCATCTATATTTGCTGCTAATGAAGAGGAGGTCTGCAAATGAGAAGGGCTGAGGGGAGAGATAAATGAACAGAAATACACTGAAAAGAATACATTTTTCTTCTCTCTCTCTCTCTCTCTCTCTCTCTCTCTCTCTCTCTCTCTCTCTCTCTCTCTCTCTCTTTTCCAGGAAAATGCATGAAGAGCCACAATCAGAAACGAAGACGGAGAACATGAAATGATGCACAGCGATGTAAGCCAAAGATGGCTTAGAATAGGAGGGCTGGAAGGGACCTTGGAGGTCTTCTAGTCTAACCCCCCTCAAGACAGGAGACCTTTATTCCATGATAGACAAATGGCTGTCCAATCTTTTCTTGAAAAGCTCCAGTGATGGAGCACCCACAACTATCATCATCATCATCATTATTATTATTATTATAACAGCATGAGAGATGGAGGGAAAACAGTCTGAGTCTGAACGAGGGACAGAGGACAGTCTGCTTCTGAATGGGGGATGGAAGGAGGGAGAACAATGCGAGGGATGGAAGGAGAACAGTCTTGGCCTGAACCAGGGGTGGAGGGAGAAATCTGGATCTGAATGAAAGTTGGAGGGAGGGAGAACGGTATGAGGCATAGAGGGAGAACAGTCTAGGTCTGAAGAAGGGACAGAGGGCAAACAGTCTGGGTCTGAATGAATGATGGATGGATGGTTGGATGGATGGAGAGGACAGTACAGGGATGGAGGAAGAACAGTCTTGGCCTGAACAAGGGATGGAGGGAGAAGTCTGGATCTGAATGAAGGATGTAGGGAAGGAGAACTATTTTCTAAAGAGCCTCCTTGGGTCTTCTCTGACACTGGAGACCTCAATCTGGCCAGCGGATGTTTATCATGAACACTCTGCCCTGCAGTAACGATGCTTGTTTGGAGTGTCAGACCTTGGATTGTTTTCATTGGAGACGGGAGATGTTTGCGGTTACCTCACTCCCCAATCAATGCGGCACACACCCCAGCCTCCTACCCCAGCCTCCTACGGCACCACCTCGGAGCGGCTTAACGCAACAGGGTCCCTGCTCACGTGGGCCTCTGTTTCAAAACAATACAAAGCCACCTTCTGCCTCCCTGGTCCATGCCCCCCCTCCCCAAACTATAGAAAACGCTACAAAATGGGAGGCTTTTCAAGGACACTTTCCAATCACAAGCAATTAGCGTGTGTGCGGCAGGGTTGAACGGGGAGAGAGGGGGGAGAAAAAAAATGTATCTGCAGATTGAAATTTGAGTTCCTCTTTCATCCTTCCACTTTAGAGCTTAAATTCTCTCTCCTGCCTTAAGCAACGGAGTTTTAGATGACTGGAAAGAATAGCGGCTTTGATCTGTTTCACTTGAGTTTCTCCACCCACCCACCCCCCAGTTGTCTAGCCACTTGATGAAAATATGTCATCCTTGTTCTTTTTTTTTGTTTCTCCCTCTGTCTCCAATTCTGCTGCAAAAAAAATGAATGCACGAGGCAGCCGACAGGTAAGAACGATCAGGTTATGCGTTCAACGATCTTCTTTTTTGCAAGATAACGCCGTGCACAAAATCAAACACATAACTTCGTAGCAAGGGACCTACTAAAAGTGAAGTTCTGCCTGCCACTTTTTTAAAAAAAAGTTGTGGTGGCTTATTCGTTAAACCACAGTTGGCTGCCACACAAAAAGAAGGTAAGCCAGACTGGCTATCGTGTATGGGTTCAGACATCACGCCAAACCGCTGAAAATTGTATGAAGGCTTAAGAACACACTTGCATTACTCCAAGCACTGATTAGCAGTTGATTGGGATTGTGCGGAAAATGAAGACAGAAATAGACCAATGACAGGATGGTTTAATGTGGTGCGTAGATCCAGGCTTGTCAGATGCTATATTTTTTCTATCCTGCTCTATGGAGTAGAGAGTTGGTCTCTGACAAAAGGCCACCTGAAGAGACTAGAAGCATTTGAAATGTGGATTTATAGGCGACTGTTACGTAGAAGCTGGGTTGACAAGATCAGAAATGAGGAGGTGATCAGCTGCCTGGGAAAGCCAAGGGAAATCATCAAAACAATTAAAAAACAAAAATTAGAATATTTTAGACATGTGATGTGACACCCCGAAAAATACGGCATACTCCATTTAATCCTCCAGGGAAAGACTGAAGGCAAACGAGGTCCAGGCAGAAGAAGAACATCGTGGCTTCAAAATCTAAGGGACTGGTTTGGACAAAACTCAGCAGCACTTTTTCATGCGGCTGCTGATAAAAACAGGATCGCCAATGTCCGATAACGGATATGGCACAAGAAGAAGATCCAGTTTAAGACTAGCTTCAATTGTTTTCAGCCTGAGATTTTGAACAGCTGTTGCCTCATCAGAATGGATAACGGGTTAGTTAGACCACTAACCTACATGGCAGATTCCTCTGATCCAAGGCAACCGAAATGTTATTTTAATTGATTAATGGTGTTCGTGTTATCTACTATTCTCCCGAGGTCCACTGACTCAAATCTTCATTAGGGCAACTTCAAAATACAAATGATATCATTTGTGTTATGACATCTGGGTAATGACATCATTACATGAAGGACATTAAGGAGGCCTTTTGCATAATGGCAACGTTACACAGAGAACATGCAACGGAATTTCCTCCATCGTGGGCAAATACTGCTCAGCCGAAGTCCAGAAAACCAAGATTGGGCTGTATTTCCTCTTTAAAAAAAAAAAGAGAACTCCTGGTATGGACTGGTTTTTTTTCAGCAAAGAAAAGAATGGTACAATATGTTCACTCTAGATGGCTTTGGTGTGTATCAAGAAAGCAAGGCAGTTAACACTTGTAATACCCACGAGATCCTAGACTCTCATTATGGAATTCTAAAATTAGCCCTGTTGTTTCTCGATACTCAACCACACTGGAGGTGTCACGCCATCTCTCGCTGCTAAGATAATCTCTTATTAGGTCATAAAAAGAGCTTTGTGGCATCAGATCTGCTTAAGCCCACACAAGAACAACTGAGGGCCACAACTGAGAATGGGCCACAAAGAACTTAACAATTTCTACCGCTGGAAACAAAATACAGGGTTCTCGATTAACAAAAGCTGCTGCAAAGTTTTATCTTCCAGCCAGTGGTCTGATGCCCTTCAAACCGCCAAATGTCAGGATGCCCACTGCATCCTGGCTTAGCAAATTCCCTAGGGTAGACTATAACAGGCGATAGTTCACCTCTTGTCCAATCTGCAACCCGTTCAGCTGTTATTTTCTCCGAACGCCCCAGAATTTTATTTATGCCTTCTGCATACAGGTAGTTCTCGACTTAACGACAGTTCATTTTGTGACCACTCCTAAGTTACAACGGCAGTGCAAAAAGGGAATTAGGACTCTTTTTCACGCTTACAACCGTTGCAGCGTGGTCATGTGATCAGAGTCCAGATGCTCGGCAACTGACTCACATTGCAGTGGTGGCACAGTGGTTAGAAGGCACCACCAACAGTTTGATCCTGACCGGCTCAAGGTTGACTCAGCCTTCCGTCCTTCCGAGGTTAGTGAAATGAGGACCCAGATAATTGGGGGCAAGAGAGGGCTGTAAAGCACTGTGAAGTGGTATATAAGTCTAAGGCTATTGCTTTTCCTTCCCTCCCTCCCTCCCAGTGGTTAGAATGCAGCATTGCAAGCTAATTCTGCCCATCGCCAGCAGTTCGATCCTGACCAGCTCAAGGTTGACTCAGCCTTCCGTCCTTCCGAGGTCAATACAATGACCACCATGACCTGGATAACTGAGAATTTCCATAGACATCATAGAATCACAGGCCTGGAAGGGACCTTGGAGGTCTTCTAGTCCAACACCCCTGCCCAAGGCAGGAAACCTTATTCTATCCTGGGGAAAAGGCTGTCCAATCTTTTCTTGAAAGCCTTCAGTGATGGAGCACTCACAACTCTGGGAAGGAAACTGTTCCACCGGTCAATTATTCTCACCATCAGGAAATTTCTGCTTTCGCGAACGAAGGCAACTCTACGCATCTCGGGATGACCTTGCAGGATCCCATCTGGGCTGGTCACTGGGACAAGAGTTGTTAGTCTTCCAAGCTTTCAGACCTCTGCTGGACTCCATCCTCAGAGAACATATCTCTCTCTCTCTCTCTCACCAGATGGACTCCTGCATGAGTCCGAAAGCTCAGAAGACAAAACCACCAGTCCCGGTGACAGATCCAGATTGGATCCTGCAAATTTCCCTTTTCTTTTAGGCTGGGTCTCTCTTTAACTAGCTTGCACTTTTTGCTTCTTGTCCTGCCCTCAGGTACTTTGGGGGTAGTTGGGCTGAAAATTGCCTTCAAAGGGGGGGGGGGGAGAATATGTACAGGTAGTCCTCTAGTTACGATCACAACAGAGCCCCAAATTTATGTTGCTAAGTGAAATAATTGTGAAGTGGAGCTTGCCCCATCTCACGACATCTCTTGCCCGATCACGTGATCCCTGGGACACTGCAACCGTCATAAACATGGACCGGAATTTTGATCACACGACCATGCGGTCGTAAGTGTGAAAAACGGTCATATGTCACTTTTTGCAGGGCTGTTAAAACTTTGAACGGTCACTACCTGGAGGAGGACCTGTACCTTAACGACATCCTGGTCAACCTCAACTGAGCTTTCCACACAGCGTAATCCATTCCCCACATTTTATCCTGAAATAAGCAGGCTACTTTCTGCATTTATTTCAAGTAGCCTCCTTCCCTGGTGTCACTCACAGAATCTAGTGCCAGCAGGGGATTTGAAAAAGAAGGGGGGGGGGGAAACACACACACACACACACACACACACACACACACCCAAGACAATTGACTCTAATTCTACTCCACAAAAATGCATCATTAAAATGAAGTGTTGCTCTTAAACGCCATACATTGATTTATGAGAGGCCCGAGCCAATTTCACAGCTCCGATGACATCACCCCCTTCCTCTCTTCACTGCCTGGTGTTGTGACTTCGGGACTGTGAAGCTGCGAAAGAGGAGGGAGGCTTCTTCCCCACCACCACCACCACCTTTAAACACGCAGCGCACAGCCCCCATCAGGGCTAGAGTAAGGAGATTAGCGATTATCCTGGGAGATCCATTCTTGAAATTCCCTACTGTTTTTAGCACAGAAAACAAGGCTAATGAGGTTCATGACATCGAGAGGCCGAAAAAGAAATAACCCTTTTAAACCCTGCATTGCAGATAAAGCCGGGGTGGTGATAAATAGAAATGATGGCCCATTACAGGAGTGCTGAAATCTCTCAATGACTCAGAAAACGCAGCACAAGGGAGATATTTAGAACCGCGATGCCAGCCCTTGTTTCGGGCATTAAAAATCATTTTGCTGTTAACGACTTTCACAGCAGAACCATTTCTACTTAAAAGCCAGGGCAATACGTTTGTCTCTACTTAATAATATCTATGTATTATATATATATATTTTTATTTTAATGGCCGGGGATAAAACAGTCAGAATTACAAGACTCCCGTCCAGTAGTATGCGATGGAGCCATGGCAGGAAATTTCACCTGCCAGCGAATTAAGTTCAGAATTATTATTATAATAATTATTTGGCAGACTGCTTCCAATTTGCAAATAGGTGCCAAAGGAGGGGTGGGGAAATGCCAAATTCCGAAAGCATGAATAGCATACAATGAACCTTACTATCGAGTTGAGGTCCACCGATCTTCAGATCTATCAGGAGCTCAATCAAATGTTACCCGTCAGTTTCCATGAGCTGTAAGATTTCCTATGTTTACTCTTGAGGTTTTTTTTTTTTTTTTAAACTCATTATAGCGTAAGCCACTGTTAACTCTTGGTTTAAATGCAAAGTAATTCCTTACAGGCAGGAGAAGAATTCTAGCTGCACACTGAGCTCTCGGTCCCAGACTCACCCAGCAATGACTACTCCATTGCACGAATGCACATCACACAGAATGTTCCCGACTTCGTGCTGCAATTGGCTCATAGCCCCGACACGGTTCTGCAAAGCAAGACAAGGAAAAGCCATGGGTTTGGTTTAGTGGTCCCTCAAAAATCTCCCCCCACCACCTTCCAAGAACTGTGGCTTTTGATATCCAAGTGGTACTCCAGCATCTCGACTCTGACTCAGCCTTCCGTCTTTCCCAGTTTGGTAAAATGAGGATCCAGATTGTTGGAAGCAAGAGGCTGACTCCGTAAACTGCTTAGAGAAGGCTATAAAGCACTGTGAAGCGGTATATAAATCTAAGTGCTATTGCTATTCTGTTCTCAATTCTATTCTCTATTCTATTGCCGTGGCGGCCCAGTGGTCAGAATGCAGTATTGCAGGCTAACTCTGCCGACTGCCAGCAGTTCGATCCTGACCGGCTCAAGGCTGATTCAGCCTTCCCTCCTTCCGAGATCGGTAAAATGAGGACCCAGATTGTTGGGGGCAAATAGGCTGACTCTGTAAACCACTTAGGGCTGTAAAACATTGTGAAGCGGTATATAAGCCTAAGCGCTAGTGCTATCGAGCATAGAATCACAGGCCTGGAAAAGATCTCGGAGGTCTCTTGTCCAAGGCAAGAGAAAAACAATCCTGGTCCAATGGTTGTCCAACCTATTTTTGAAAACTTCCACTGATGGAGGACCCACAAATCCGGGGAGCAAGCTGTTCCACAGCTTGTTCTCACCATCAGGAAATTTCTCCTTATTTCTAGGTTGGACTTCTCTTGAACAAGCTTATAGTATATCTCAAGTGAGAAGTTCTTTTCCCTTACTTTCCAGTTGGTTCGCAAAGTCTTCTCCTTTTCCCGACATTCTCGGAGGGTCTGTTTCCAACAGGGGAAGTCTGAGACTTGACTGTCAGACAGATAACCTTCCTGTTGACAAAGCCGGAACCACAGGACTTGGTCTTCAGCCAGTATCTTCCACGTTCGGCTCACCTAAAAAGAGGACAAATGCTTATTGCTGAGAATTCTCTCTGAAACCAGGGGGGGGACACGATGCTCTCAGTGACCCTGGTGTGCATCACCCCAAAACGAGACCTGCGTTAATATTAAAATAGGATTTTAAAAATTCTTCAATGTACGTTACCTAGTAAGTTGGGTAATGAAATGTCTCCAAGAAAACAATCAAGCACAGAGAGCGCTATGGACCCCTCACTGCAACCCTGAGCTACAAATATTTTCCTTTATTGGTAAAACATAAATGGCCTGGCCAAGTCTAGGAATCTAAATCACAGATAAAAGCACCTGAGGGCAGGGCAAGAAGCAACGGATAGAAACTAATCAAAGAAAGAAGCAACCTAGAACTAAGGAGAAATTTCCTCACAGTGAGAACAATTAGTCAGTGGAACAACCTGCCTCCAGACGTTGTGAATGTTCCAACGCTGGAAGTTTTGAAGAAGAGACTGGAAAGCCATTTGTCCAAAATGGTAAAAGTTCTCCTGCTTGAGCAGGGGGCTGGACTAGAAGACCTCCAAAGTCCCTCCAAAGAATTCTATTCTGTTCTATTCCATTCCATTCCATTCTATTCTCTATTCTATTCTATTCTATTCAAGGCTCAACTTTATTTATTCAAGGAATTCACACTGAAGACATCCACATCTCACCGAATGCTTAAATTCCAATTTGTTTAAATTTTAAAGGCAGACTAGAAGGGGGGGAAAAAAAACATCTCAGGGAAACCAATTTCCAAACAGCTCCCAAATTATCAAGCTACTGCTGAAAAACTCTGCAGAAGAAGAGCGCTAAAAAA